TGTTTTCAAGCTTGAGTAAAAAAACAGTTAGCAGATTTTTTGGAATGCATGGGCCATTTTTTCACTGTTAGGTCCAGTCATCAAGTGGTCAAAAATCAACATCAGTTTAATTGAAGAAAAGCGAATTTCCAAATTTTCAACGGTCAAAAAATTCATATTTAAAAAAAAAACTTTGAAAAAAAAACAACCATCAGCATTAAAAACCGTCAAACACTTTTCCAAACAAAATTAAATAATAAAATTTGGCAACAATGATCACATAGTGTTATGATTTTTTTAACACATATGTCGGTCTCAAGTCCGAAGAAGAAATTTCGAAAATTTTTCATTTTGTTTGTTCTGATTGTTTTTTATTGTATTTTGACAATTTATTATGCTTGCGATAAGCAAGCGTTATCATATCGAAATATTGACCGTTCCAGTTTACCAATTTGTTTAACAAAATAACTCGAATAATTGGTTACCGAAACTACTGTTACCAAAACTTTTTATATTCAAGCTTTTTGAAAAAGTTCAACTGTCGGTCTAATAACTCTCTGCTTAAGTTTTTTCATAGCATGAAATTTATCAAGAAAATTTTTTTGAACAAAGACAAAGCGGAATTTTATATCACAAACTAGCGAATAGAAAACAAGACTAAAAAACCTGAGACCAAAAAATAGGTTTAAAAGTTGAAAATTTTTGGTTAGAAAAAATCTAAAAATAAATTTGAAAAAAATAGCTGAAAACACAACCCCCAGCCTTAAATAGGCTTTCAGTAATCAACGATTGGCCATCAAGTTAGACAAAAAAACGTAAGTAGACGCCCAGTGAACCAGAAGCAAAAAAAGGATGAAAAAAAATTTGAGCAATTTAATTTCAAAACTTGGGGTATTCAGACCACAACCAAAATAAAAAAAGGAAAATATCTTAAATATCTTACATATTATGATCAATTAACAATTAAACATGACAACAAAAACGCAAATTGCGCGAAAAAGCGTGATTTACTTTTACGTTTACAGGTGATTTTATTTATAAAGTTGACAGAAAAAATACCCATTGAACCAGTTTTTTCTATTTAGGTTATCTTGATTCAACAAAATGCAAAAGTGTTTTTCAAAAACATTAGTTTTTCGCAAAAAAAATCCAAAAAAGCTCTGAAAAGTTAAAAAAAAATGCTGCCAACAATTGATAGTGGTAGAATCTAAATTCTTCACAACTGCGCAAGTTTCCTCTACTGTCTTCTAAGCACTAGCCACTAATAAAGCGGATAAATACATTCCATTAATTTTCTAAATTTAATAGTTATACCAATACACGGGAACAAAAATGGCCTCATTTGCTGAGCACTAATGCACTCAAATTCGGTTGCAAAACTTCGCGACTGAAACGAAAGAAAACTCGCACGAATTGTTAAAATTTCCCAAAAATTGCGAGAGAAACAAAACAAAAAAATTGAAACAAGAAATTTTAGGGTTTAAAAAACCCTAAAGTCAAAACAACTATGCGTTCTTTTTATTGGTAATATATTAGTTGGGAGCATGGGTTACATTTGCATTTATAAGCAAATATTTTCATGCCCTATCACTGCAATCTAACTCAACAAATGGAGCAGTTTAAACGAATTTCGTTATCATCTCAATTTTTAACAGCGAGCCCGAACGCAGGAGCCTCATGCGTCGACTATTAGATATCTTCCCTTTCTAAAATGGTTCTTCTCTGGTATTGTTTTTATGCATTTATGGCCAACGGACTGATAATTATTAGTAAAAGTGTTTGAAGTGATAAAATTACTAAATTTGATGGAGCGCAATCAACGCTCACCACTTTTTTTTAAACTTTTCTTTAAAAAAAACCAAAACATATTTTTTTGCACAATTTCTCATAATTCATACGTGAATCAGAGAATTTTGGCCAACAAGGTTATTAAAAGCGTTTTCGAAATGCTTACAAAATTGGGTCATTATCCTAAATGTCAGCAATATTCTGAAAAAAAAAACTTTTCAGAAAAGCAATCCAATCCTTCTCAAAAATGAGAAATCCTATATCAAAAAACGTTATCTCCAGCGTTGATTCAAGTTCTTCGAAAATTATTTCACAGAAAAAACGCAGTGAATTTGAAACAGTTCTGGGGTCTCTGATCTTTAGTATTCATTTTAAAAAGGAAGTTACTTTCCGTGTCAAATGAGTATCTAAAGCCCTCTTTTTAAACTGAATACTAAAGATTAGATACTTCAGAACTGTTTCAATATCACTGCCTTTTACTGCAATTATACATCGTTTTTATTATTTAAAAATTGTTTTGTTGTTTTTGTTTTTTCAGTACGCGGTATCATCACGCAAATTCTCCGCATTTTTTAGCCTCATTATTCTATAAGTCATTCCCGTCGTGGAGAAATATCTTTCTAATCTACCTGAGTTAAGAATACCAGAAAAAAAGTCATAGCAACATCAACCGGTGCTTTTTCGAAACCAAAGCTCTTTTCCATTGTCCACCATAACAGTTTTATACCCATAAAAAATTTAAAATCACAGGAAACTTCATAAAAATTCCTTGCTCATTGTGAAATCTTTTTAAAAAATTCATTGTATGGTTGCTCTCAAGTCATATACTTAGTGAAGTCTACCGTGGCTGCCGATATATGCGAGAGATATTTTAGTATCATGAGCGCTTTATTTATTTTCATTACCTATGATGAGGATCTAAGACAATTGCGACAAAAAATGGGAGCCAGATAATCATTTCTTCTTTTTGCTACAAAATGCTTAAGATGATCCGGTGCTGCATTGTAGAGATCATGCGCCTATTACCTCTATCGCCGCGGCTTGATTTCCAAACACTGCTAGCTTTTAGCATTAAACAATTTAAACGCAGAGGCGAATCTGAGTTTTGGACCACTTGCCATACAAAAAAAAGCCGAGAATCAAAAGATAATATGTCTCAAACGAAATGTGAAAACTCAAATAAATTCTGCTTGAGAAATCTAAGCAATTTTTTTTCTGCAATTGTTAGAAAAATCAATTACTTACAATATAAGGAGGATTCAGGATACACTAACTCTACTCATTTACTTCTCAGAACCATTATCACACAAACAACCTTAAGATGTTACAGAAGCATTTGGGCGTTAGAAAAACCACTTTCCGTTATTTGCTATAAGCTATGATAAAAATGAGGAAATAGAAAACAATAAGAAATACAACAAAAATTAAAGCAAAAGTTTCAATCAATAAACAACTTACAGAAATCTAAAAATATGATTTTTCAAATAAGCCAATTATATCATACTTGAAGCTGGTACGCAACGATATGAGAGCTGGATCACAAAAAAAATCATATAAAAAGACATCAGTAAGGAATTTAAAAAATTGAGAATTCATTCATTTTCAAATACTTCAGCCAGACAAAAACACGCTCCTGAATCTCGTACAAAATGATCAGTCAAAACAAAATAGCAAAAAATTCTGGAAAATCGCGATTTTTTTGGAAAAAACTTTGAAATAGAACAACAAAACTCGGCAAAATCAAAATTTAAACTAACTCTACGCATTTATAAATCCAATAAAATCAAAAACCATGCATCCAAAAAAACTGAGACTGAAACAATTTTTTACTTTAAAATAGGAAGTTTTTGCGTGCACAAAACTAGGATTTCATTAACTAAACTTAACCACTGAAAAGAAACAAATACTGTAAACGTCTACAGAAAACTTTCAAAAATTAAGCCGACAATTAAAAGACCCTACAGAAAACTTTCACAAAGACCCTACAATTAAGCCGACAAAACTTGGAACGAAATCAATGAAGCCGACCAAAATCAAGTTATATGTGGAATTTTTCTACGATGTAGACCCACTATCGCATCAGTGGCTCTAGACCAGCTGTTCAACTATAGCTGTTTATTTAAACTGTTAAATTAAAAATTGAGTAGAAATGGATATCTTGAAATTGGAGATCCAATCCCGTGAACGAAAGTATTCAAAAAGTTAATTTAAAAGTCTAGTACCGGTACCAGATTGCAACACATTTGCTTATCGCAAGGGTAATAAAAAACACTGTTCCATATTTTCTGTTTGAAAACTTGTTTTTGTTGTGGATTAGGTAAACAAAATCTATTTATTGCATCGAAAAACTTTGTGACACAAGTCGAGACACAAAAAATTGAGATGTGAACAAATTAACAAATTTGAGATTCAAAAGAAGCTGCTGCTTATCTGGTATAAATCACATGTGAAAAGCACGTAAAATGACTGTTTTGTTTGCTTGTTTGTTCAAAGTAAGAAAATACGAAATTTTTTGTTTTAAGCGTTTTGCTTTCAAATACAGCACAGGAACATTATTATGTACACTTGTGTTATATCGACTTATTTTAAAACATATTGCAAAACACTCCCAAATTTGGAATTTTCGCTATCGAAACAACTAGTTATCAACAAAAAGTTGTAATAGCCCAATGAAGCTACCCAACCTCTCGGTTTAATTTTTTTAAAAAAATTAACCTGGGATCAATTTTGATTAAAAATTCTATGTTTGAAAATTGAAATGTTTCTTTAATGATCAAAGCGTGATCAAAAATTGTAACGTAGCGAACTATTTAGCACTAGAAGACGTTTTTCGAATTTGATTTGAGGCCCGAATAGGTCACAATAATTCTCTATACGGCTCAAATTGTAACAATTACTATTTGGTATTGGCTGTTGGGGAAAAGAAGGCAAACAAAAATCAAAAACTTATTTCATTATTTTCTAACTAAAAATTATTCGACTAGTTAAATGGCTATCGGACCATTGGGGCTTTGCCCTGGAACGATCAGTCTTTTCCATTTTCAAAACTTATTATAAAAATGAAATTGATGTATAAAATATTACAAAGCAGGCGAAATTCAAAAAAAAAACGTTTGTTAATTTCGTTATAATAAGTTATAAAAACAAACCATTAAAAACAATTTAGGATTTCTCAAACTGCTTTTCAAAAAGTTAGAAATAATTAATTATAAAAATAAAAAGGATCAGTCACTCATCGACAACAAAACATATATGCTTTTTGGTGTTCAAGCCACTTTTAGTGGACTTGGTATCTGATCTGTGATTCTGAACACTTTCTCCATTCCTTTTTGAACCAGGAATATATTATCACTCCAGTGTAATCTGTCCTCCCAATATAACTGAGATCCTAGTTCTTTCGAGAACACAGAAAACTCCATGTGATTAACCAGTCTGCTCATCACTTGTTCAACCGTGTCTGTGTAGGGCGTCGCTTTTACATTGGTGACTAAAGCTCCTTTCAGCTCGGACCATTCCATGTAAATTAGAGTTACATTGTGTGTTTTGAAGAGGTTTGAGGCGCCTTTGAGAGCAAGCGGCTCGAAACCTTGTATGTCCATTTTGATCACAACCTACACAGAACTACCGAAACTAATCAAAATTTGTCGTGAAAGGCTAAAGCTCTTTTTTAATAACAATTTATTTTGTTCTTTATGCAAGATTTGAAAACATCCCATCCTTCGACACAATCTCATTTGTGCGCAAAATGACAGGAAAAAATAAAGAAGCAAGAGGTTTCTTAGTGCGTTCTCTCCCTTAGATTTATAGGATTGTCGAACTGTATTAATCAAACAGCTCGGATCAGGGAAAGGGTTTATTAATCACGCCGTGTAAAGCTTCCGATGCAAAATTTACGACTGTCGATGTTAATTCTAAAGTGCAACCGGCAACTAAGGCTTCCATGTTATCAACTGAACTCTTAATCTTTGAAAGATAAATAACTGCTCAGGGCAATATGCTTATATTTTCTCTCACCCAGATCGGATTAAAACATTCTCGAAAATGAGCTTACGTTTAGTTTTTTAATTGGCAGATGAGTAACAAGATCGTCGACGGTTACTGCTTTTGTGACATCTCTCTTCTGCTCAGTGTTTTCATCGCATGTCACGTGATCCAATTCTGAGCCCCCCTTGTTGAGTGGGTCTGTGCGGGACATCACACAACCCCGTCTGTCCGAGACTGCCTTCCGATGCAAAGAGAACACACTGAAGTTGCCAGACGTTTCATTGCCGAATTCAATGGCTCAACTGCAACTGTTCTAACACCTGAAAAACTTTCAACTAATAATCATCATTTTATTGAAAATATATGCAAGTTAAACTTACAATAATAGGATATAGAAAAGAAAGATTAACCATTTTTGAAATATTTCTATTATTACAATTTTTGTCAGTATGATATGACTGGGGTAAAAAGCACACGAGTTATAAATTTTAAAAATCTTTTGTCCAATTAAGGAGTTTATCCAATAATATTTAAGTACTTTTTGAAATCAAAACAATTTTGCATTTCGTTTTGAATTTACTTGCTTGACTATTATAAGTTTACATACCGTAGCTAATGGACGGTATGGAGAAGGTTCCGATGTTGGCTCCGAGATCCAATAGCACCGGATCAAGTCCAGCACTCTGCAGTTGGATTAAATGAGTCAGAACTGTGGCAACACCTGAAACAAAAGCTAGTTTATTCGATAGCTCGTTTTATTCTTAATAGCAAAATTCAGTCTCACAATTTTGCTTTTCAAAAATTAATGAGATTTGCATATAAAAATAGGACAATCTGGTAAAGTGCTGCTTTTTTTGTAAGTTTCACGAGCAACTTAGAACCAGTTTGAAACTAGTTATTTTATTTATATTTTTTCCCTGTAAAATATTTATTACTAACCAATCATGAGTCATAACTAAATCCTACTCTTGATTTGTAAGCCTGAAACCCTAGTGGTTCAGAGAATTAATAATAAAGATTGAAATCAGTTGCTTTTTTCTCTCCTCTAACTTCGCGAAAAAATCAGAATATACTAGATCTATTGAGACTAGGAAATATAAGATATAAGAGAAGGAATGGGATTGGTATTAGACTAAGGAGTTGCACGAACCTATCCGGCCAAAAATACAAAGCGTGACAAACAGGTGTTGTACCCAATCCCAAAATTACTCTATGAGAAGGCCACCCAGGACCTAAACTCAAATTAGAAAAAAAACAATTTGTAACTTAAAAAGTCAATAGAGGCGAAAAAGTTGGAAAATATTATACTACAAAAAACTTACAATTTTTAAATCTCAACTGATTAGTTTCTTAAACACTCCGCCGCCTCTCATATCCATCTTGCAGACAAAAGCTTGTGCTAATGAAACGAAGCACGATTAAAAATGTATCGGAAAAACTTGAACTGCCGGACTTTTGTCAGCTTATTTATTGTCATTTAGAAGCCACACGACGAATTTTTCATGAGTTGAAAGAATTTTTTATTGTAAAAATCCATAGTGTGGCTTTTGAACCGGCAAAACACTAGCAGATGAAAGTCCGGCAATTCAAGTTTTTCCGGAAAGTTTACATTTTCATACATACTAAAAACGCCACACAAAAATTCGAATTCCAAGTCTTAGAGTGCAAAAGCAACCGCACTATCCCCTAACTAAAAAATACCAGTCAAGTAAAAATTACTAGACCACGTAGGAATTACTATCTAAAACATTTTCGGTTTATTTTTATGGCACTTATGGCATCAAATTTTATGGTATTTTTCTGTTTTCGGTTGAACGAGCGTCTATTCCCGGTTTCGTAGCCACTCGGTAAAAACTACAAGCTTATTTAATGCTGGTAGCTGAGTTTTTCCAGTTCTTCAGAAGCTGACTTTTGTTTTTCCGAAAAAATTTTCTTCGATCTTCTCGAACTATTCATGCGAGCAAGGTTAGTTAATCGCATAATATGAATTTTTATGTAATTTCATGGCTATTTTAAACCCAAATATTTGTAGGTACACAACTTGTCTGACCCGACCGCTGCAACTTCCGCACCAAGTTTTCTTAATAATTAACCGGTTAACCGGTTAATTTGAAATCGGTTAACCGGTTAAGAAAAAATTAACCGCTCCGAGGCCTACTGGACAATCAATAAGCCTCAATCACTTTTGAAAATTAATCAGAAAAATTTGAAGAACTAGTTTCACTTCAAAGCCTTGAAATGCTGCTTAATACGTTAATGCATAAACACAAGCGCTCCAACAAATGGAAACTAACGACAGAAGTTTGCCAACTGGAAACTGAACCAACAGAGGCTCAGTTCAAAAAAAAATAGCCAAAAAATCATAGTTAAAAAATCGAAGTTTGACCGTCAAACGATAAAATGGCTCAAAAACCTAAGTTTGAGGTATAAGAGTAATTATATTGAATGCTGGAAAGTAAGACAAACGACAAAAACTGCAAAAAAGACTACCAAAATGAAAAACAAAAGACACTTTCATACAAATAGTGAGAAAAAAAGAATCGAACCCCAAATCTTCGGCACCTCAAAACAGGGTTTTACTGCAGTACTAAAAGCGCTGTTCGAAGTGTAGTCACATTTCAACTAAAAGCAGGAACAATTTCATTCAAATTTTTGAATAAAATTGTTAAATAGATAATTTTTAGTTTCCGAATACAAAAAACTTGCTATCATACGTGAAATACATCTGGCAAAATTATGAACTAACAAGAAAGTACAGCTTTTCGCCGAGCTAAACCAAAGAGTCTTGTTCAAGCATAAAAGTTACTTCTGCGCTCGCATTAGCTGTTAGAGGTTGATTGTTTTATAGTTATTGTAGTATTAGACATTGAGTCGAAGAGTGTCAATGGGTATTCTTTTAACGGTGCGCAATCATTTATAGGTAGAAGTTTCTAGTCGTTACAGCTTGGGCAGTACAAAAGTCTGTGATAATGGTATTTGAACTCAGGTCGCTGCGTTTTAAAGGCCACCAGCCGCAGCAGTGGCAACATACGCTGAAGTGAGGAGCAATGGATCAAGTGAGGAGCAACGGAGCTCGGTTCGATTCCGGATATTAATAGAAATCCTAGCAAACAGGAGTATCCAAGTCGGCCTTAACCATCCTCTAAGCAAAAGCACTTATACTCATCTGCCGTAGCTTCGAGAAAATACGAACTCATCCCAAATTCGCAATTTTCAAATTGAACAGACACAATTTTGCGATAAAAAATCACAGCTGAAAGATATCTTTAATTTCGGGCTGAAAGAGTTGAAAAGTTAAAATTTTTGGTAAGAAAAAATTAATAAATCAATTTGAAAAAAATAGCAGAAAAAAAAACCACGAGCATTGAACAGGCTTTCAGTAATCAACGATTGGACATCAAGCCAAAAAACGTGAGTAGACAACCAGTGAACCAAAAGCAAAAAAAATGGTGAGAAAAAATTGTTCTCAGAAAAAAAAATTGAGTGGTTGAATTTCGAAACTTAGAACTTTCGGACCACAACCAAAATTGGAAAAAGGAAAATATGCTAAGTAAGGGTTGTTAAATTTACAAATCGCAGGAGTCAATGTCACTTGAAACTTCAATCAAAATTGTACCAGCAAAAAAATCGTGATGTGGTAACTAAACTGAGAAATCACTCATAAGAAAGTTCCGAACAGTTTTCAATTTGATAAATATTGAAAAAAAAAAAGTGTTAAGCAAGATTTGAACCCCAGACCTTAAAGCGCGAAAGCAACCATATTACCTCAACAACAAAAACGGGAATGATCATGACAGTTGTTGAAGTTCAATAACAGAGCAAGTGCATTTTTTTACACGTTTGTTCACCTGAAAAAATTATAATTCTCCATTACAAGGCAGTTGCTCTCGCAAGTGTAATAATTTCCTTTTTTTTTTGTTTGGTTTACGCTGTTAGTTGGGTTTCATTTGTGTTCCTTTAATTGAAAAAGAAACTAGAACCTCAGACCTTTTTGGTTTAATATTATGTTCAATTAACAATAAAACGTTAAACAAAAACGCAAATTGCGCGAAAAGCGTGAATTACTTTTACGTTCACAGATGAATTTATTTATTAGGTTGAACAAAAGAAAAACTACCCATTGATCCAGTTTTTTCTATTAAAACTAAGTTGATTCAACAAAAATGCAAAACTGTTTTTCGCAAACATATGCTAAAAAAGCTTCAGATTGAAAATAATCTAAAAGCTTCAAAAAGTTAAAAATTAGCTGCCAACGATTGACAGCGATAGAGCCTAAATTCTTCACTACTGCGCAATATCCCTTTACTGTCTTCTAAGCACTAGGCAAAAATAGCGGATAAACTCATTCCATTAATTTTCCAAACTTATTAGTTATACCAATACAAAAGCACGCAAGTTCGGTTGGAAAAACTTTGCATCTGAACAAAAGAAAAATTGCATGAACTGTTGAATTTTTTCAAAAAGTTGCAAAAATTGCGACTGAAACAAAAAAAGAGAAGTGAAAAAAGAATTTTTAGGGTTCAAAAATCCCCAAACCAAAACAATTATGCTTCATTCTTTTTGGTAATATATTGTTTGGGGCATGGATTACATTTGCATTTATAAGCAAATAGTTTGATGCCCCATCACCGCAATTTAACTCAACAAATGGAGCAGTTCAAATTATTTTCGTTATAATCTCAAATTTTAACAGCGAGCCCAACCACAGGAGCATTATTCTCCGACTATTCCATATCATCCCTTTCTAAAATGGTTCTTCTTCGGTATCGTTTTGATCCATTTAGGGCTAACGGACCAATAATTATTAATAAAAAGTTTGCAGTGACAAAATTACTAAATTTGATGAGGTGCAATCAACGCTCACCTTTTTTAATTAAAATTTTCTTTCAAAAAACACTAAAACATAGTTTTGGCACAATTTCTCATAATTCATTCGTGATTCAGAAAATCTTGGCCAGCAAGGGTATTAATAGAGTCTTGGAAGTGCTCAAAAAAGTAGGGTGTTATCGTTAATGTCAGCAACATTGTGAAAGAACTTTTCGGAAACGCGCTCCAATCCTTCTCAAAAATGCTTAAAATGAGAAATCTTATATCAAAAAACGTTGTCTCCAGCGTTGATTGAAGTTTATCAAAAATTACTTCGCAGAAAAAACGCAACAAGTTTGAAACAACCCTGGAATATCTGATGTTTGGTATTCAGTTTAAAAAGGGGACTTAGTTACCTTCTGAGTCAAAAGAGTACCTAAGCACCCTTTTTGAACTGAACGCTAAAGATTAGAGACTCCAGAAATGTTTCAAACTCACTGCATGTTACTGCAATTAAACTGCGTTTTTTATTTAAAACTTGTTTTATTGTTTTTCTAGTTCGCGATAACAACATGTAAATTTTCCGCAGCTTTTAGCCTCCACTTCTTGGTTCTCATTTTCCATAACTTATTCCCGTCGTTGAGAAACATCTTTCTAATCTACCTGATTGCGAACACCAGAAACGAAATTCAAAGCAATATCACTCAACGCTTTATCGAAACCAAACCTCTTTGCCATTTTCCACCATAACAGTTTTACACCTATGAAATATTAAAAAGCATTCATAGGAAACTTCAAAAAAAATCATTGCTCATTGTGAAATCTTCAAAATGCTTAAAATGATCCGGTGCTGCATTGAAGAGACCAAGCGCCTAATACACCTATCGCCGCGGCTTGACTCCTAGACAATGCTGCTAGTGTTTAGCGTTAAACAGTTGAAACACAGACGCGAAGCTGAGTTTCGGACTACTTGTGATACAAAAATAAGCCCAAAATCAAAAGATAACATGCCTCAAATGAAAATTGAAAAGGTAAAGAAATTCTGTTTGAGAAAACAAAGGCTAAAAAGTATAGATTTTTTATGCAATTGTTATAAAAATCAATCATCTACAACATAAAGAAGATTCGGGATACATCAGCTCTACTCATTTCTTTCTCAGAACCAATCGATAGAACCGGTCAGAAAATATGTAAATCAAAATATCGAGATCAAATAGTTCCAAAAATTACTGACAAAATTTTTGTTTAAGAGCTTGCACCCAAACAACCTGCAGATCCTACAAAAGCAATTGAGCATTAGAAAAAACCACTTTCCGTTATTTGCTAAAAGCTATGATAAAAATGAAGAAAAAACATGGAAAAAAATTACACAAAAATTAAAGCATAAGTTCCAATCAAATTTCACAATAAACAACTTGCAGAAATCTGAAACACTCTCAGCGCTGTTTGAAATAACCCAATTACATCATACTTATCAAGTATGAAGCTGATACTTAACGTTATGAGAGCTTCATCACAAAAAAAGAAGATAATAAAAAAGACATCAGTAAGGGAAATTTTATAAAGAAAAGACATAAATTTATTTATTTTCAAAAACTTCAGCCAGACAAAAACACGCTCTTGAATCTCGTGCGATAGGATCGTAGAAAAAATAGTCAAGTCAAAAGAGCAAATTCACGATTTTTTTTCTGAAAAAATTTTGACATCAAATCAAAACACTATGCTATCAACTTGAATCGAATTAATCAAAATTGCTCAGACCTAAAATACGGCAAACAAATCAAAACTTGAACAAACTCCACGCAGTTATAAATCCAATAAAATAAATCAGAAACCATGCATGCGAAAAAACTGAAAGTTTGGAGCAATTTCACCTTAAATTACAGGAAGTTTTTGCTTGCCTAAAACACCAAGAAATATCAACTAAATTTAACCACTGAAAAAGAAAAAATAATTTAAGCATCTACGAAAAAAAAAATTTAAAAAAGACCCTGCAATTAAGCCGACAAAATGGGAACTAAATCATTGATGCCGACAAAAAATCAATTTATGTCTGGAAATTTTTTAAGATGTAGAACCACTATCGCTTCAGTGGCTCTAGACAAGCTGTTCAACTATAGCTGTTAATTCTAACTGTTAAACGTAGAAATTGAGTAGAAATGGAGATCTAGAAATTGGAGAACTAATCCTGTGTACAAAATTATTTGTTAAGTTAGTTAAAAATCTAACACCCGATTGCAGAACACTTGCTTATCCAAGAGTAATAAAAAACCCTGTTCCATATTTTCAGTTTGAAAACTTGTTTTTTTTTTAGATTAGATGTGTAACATTGACTTCTTTTGAAACATTTTTCAAAACACTCCCAAAATTTTTTGGCATTCGAAACAAATAGTTATCAACAAAAAGTTTTAATAGCCCAATGAAGCTACCTAATCGCTCGGTTTAATTTTAAAAAGATAATTAACCTGAGATCAATTTTGATAAAAATTCAATGTTTGAAAACTGAAATGTTTCTATAATGATGAAAGCGGATTCGAAAAGTGTTTAAGCGTAGCGAACTATTTAGCACTCGAAGACGATTTGATTTGAGGCGCGCTAGTAGGTCAAAACAATTCCCCATACGGCTCAAACTGTAACAATTACTATTTGATACTGGCTGTTGGGGAGAATAAAACAATCAAAAATCAAAAACTTAATTCAATGTTTTTTAAATCAAAATTATTCGAGACTAGTTAAATGGCAGTCGGACCATTCGGGCTTTGCCCTGGAACAATCAGTTTTTTTTTCAGTTTCAAAACTTTCATTATTTAATGAAATTGATATATAAAAATTACAAGCAGGCGAAATACAAAAAAAACCGAAATTATGAAAAACAATTTCAGATTTCCCAAACTGCATCTCTTCAAGTTAGAAATAATTACTTATAATAATAAAAACGATCAGTCACTCATCGACAACAAAACATATATGCTTTTTGGTGTTCAAGCCACTTTTAGTGGACTTGGTATCTGATCTGTGATTCTGAACAGTTTCTCCATTCCTTTTTGCACCAGGAATATATTATCACTCCAGTGTAATCTGTCCTCCCAATATAACTGAGATCCCAGTTCTTTCGAGAACACAGAAAACTCCATGTGATTAACCAGTCTGTTCATCACTTGTTCAATCGTGTCTGTGTAGGGCGTCGCTTTTACATTGGTGACTAAAGCTCCTTTCAGCTCGGACCATTCCATGTAAATTAGAGTTACATTGTGTGTTTTGAAGAGGTTTGAGGCGCCTTTGAGAGCAAGCGGCTCGAAACCTTGTATGTCCATTTTGATCACAACCTACACAGAATTACCGAAATTAATCAAAATTTGTCGTGAAAGGTTAGAGCTCTTTTTTTAATAACAATTTATTTTGTTCTTTATGCAAGATTTGAAAACATCCCATCCTTCGACACAATCTCATTTGTGCGCAAAATGACAGGAAAAAATAAAAAAGCAAGAAGTTTCTTAGTGCTTTCTCTCCCTTAGATTTATAGGATTGTAGACTGTATAAATCAAACAGCTCGGATCAGGAAAAGGGTTTATTAATCACGCGGTGTAAAGCTTCCGATGCAAATTTTACGACTGTCGATGTTAATTCTAAAGTACAATCGGCAACTAAGGCCTCCATGTTATCAACTGAACTCTTAATCTTTGAAAGATGAATAACTGCTCAGTGCAATATGCTTATGCTTTCTCTCACCCAGATTGGATTAAAACATTCTCGAAAATGAGCTTACGTTTAGTTTTTTAATTGGCAGATGAGTAACAAGATCGTCGACGGTTACTGCTTTTGTGACATCTCTCTTCTGCTCAGTGTTTTCATCGCATGTCACGTGATCCACTTCTGAGCCCCCCTTGTTGAGTGGGTCTGTGCGGGACATCACACAACCCCGTCTGTCCGAGACTGCCTTCCGATGCAAAGAGAACAGTGAGGGGTGGAATTTATTCATACTCACTGAAGTTGCCAGACGTTTCATTGCCGAATTCAATGGCTCAACTGCAACTGTTCTAACACCTGAAAAATTTCCAACTAATAATCATCATATTGAAAATATATGCAGGTTAAACTTTCAATAATTGGATATAAAAAAGATTAACCATTTTTGAAATATTACTATTATTACAACTTTTGTCAGAATGATATGACTGGCATAAGAAGCACAAGAGTTATAAATTTTCAAAATCTTTTGTCAGAGTTCATCCAATAGTATTTAAGTTCTTTTTGAAATCAAAACAATTTTGCATTTCGTTTTGATACTATCTGCTTTACTATCTGCTTTGATACTATCTGTTTACGTACCGTAGCTAATGGACGGTATGGAAAAGGTTCCGATGTTGGCTCCGAGATCCAATAGCACCGGATCAAGTCCAGCACTCTGCAGTTGGATTAAATGAGTCAGCACTGTGGCAACACCTGAAACAAAAGCTAGTTTATTCGATAGCTCGTTTTATTTTTAATAGCAAAGTTCAGTTTCTCACAATTTTGCTTTTCAAAAATTAATGTGATTTACATACAAAAATAGGACAATCTGGTAAAGTGCTGCAATTTAGAACCAGTTTGAAACTAGTTATTTTTTATATTTTATTTCCCTGTAAAGTATTTATTACTAATCAGTTATGATCCATAACTAAACCTTACTCTTGATTTGTAAAACTGAAACCCTAGTGGTTCAGAGAATTAATAATAAAGATTGAAATCAGTTTTTTTCTTCTCTCCTCTAACTTCGCGATAAAACCAGTATATACTAGATCTATTGAGCCTAGGAAATATAAGTTATAAGAGTAAGAATGGGATTGGTATTAGACTAAGGAGTTGCACGAACCTATCCGGCCGAAAATACATAGTGTGACAAACAGGTGTTGTACCCTATCCCAAAATTACTCAATGAGAAGGCCACCCAGGACCTAAACTCAAATTTAAAAAAAAAACAAGTTGTAAGTTAAAAAGTCTGTCGAGGCAAAAAGTCATCGGAAAAAATCAAACTACAAAAAAGTTACAATTTTTCAACCTCAACTGATTAGTTTCTTAAACACTCCGCCGCCTCTCATATCCATCTTGGAGACAAAAGCTAGTGTTAATGAGACGAAGCACGGCTTTGCGAAAATTCCAATACAGGTAAAGAATAACTGCAGGACATGCAGAAAAAGTGACGAACATTTAAAAAACTAAAAACAAGCCTTTTCATGATCAAAAAACTTCATGGAAAAAAATTTGCGCAATTCGTTCAAATTTCTTTCAAAATTCAAGTTCAAAGTTGAAAAAAAAAAATACTTTTAAAATTCAAGTTCGAAGTTGCAAAAATGTATATCGTATTCTATATTGATCTAAGAGGTAACGCGGTTACCTTTACATTCTAAGGCTTGGGGTTCGAGTCACGGTCGCAGCTTTCAATATGCATGAAATTAAAAATTTATCAGAAAAACTTGAACTGCCGTACTTTTGTCAGCTTGTTTATTGTCATTTAGAAGCCACGCTACTTTAGACGCCGCACGACTTTTCATTAGTGTGGCTTTTGAACCGCCAAATCATTAGCAGATGAAAGTCCGGCAATTCAAGTTTTTCCTCAAAGTTTACATTTTCATACATCCTAAAAAAACACAACGACTGACGGGAATTCGACCTCCAAGTCTCAGAGGGCAAAAGTAACTGCATTATCGCTGGACTAAAAAACACCAGGCAAATAAGAATTACTAGACCAAGTAGGAATTACTATTTAAAACATTTTCAGCTTGTTTTTATGGCATTTATGGCATCAAATTTTATGGCATTTTTGTTTCCGGCTCAACAAACCTCTATCCACGTATTACCGGCTTGGTAGCCGCTCGATAAAAAGTAAAAGCTCATTTAATGCTGTTTGTTGAGTTTCTTTTAGTTCTTCGGAAAGTGACTTTTGTTTTTCCCAAAAACGTTTTTCGATCTTCTCCAACTATTTTGTATTATTATTTATTTTTGCCTCAATTTCAGTTCGTTGTAGTTTTTCGTTTTCATTGTATCGCAAATGATGCGTAGCTCCACTTCGCCCCTGTGTAGAATTTCAGTTAAAATTTATCATCGAAAAGATTTACGTTGTTGACTTTTTCTGTTGAAAGGTGAAGAGCCATAAGAAAGCTTGACAACCAAAAAAACCTCAACCACTTTTGAAAATTAATCAAAAAAAATTCGAAAAGTTTTACTACAAAGCTTTGCAATGAAGCTTAATATGTCAATGGGTAAAACACACGTGCTCCAACAAAAGGAAACCGACAGAGCTTGCCATTTAGACACTGAACCAACAGAGGCTCAACCTACGACAAAGTACCAAAAAAATCATCGGCAAAAATTTGAAACTTGACCGTCATACCATAAAACGGTTCAAAAACCTAGCTTTAAGGTGGAAGAGTAATTAAATTGAATGCTCGAAAGTAAAACGAACGAAAACTCAGACGACAAAAATTGCAACAAAGAATATCGGAATGAAAAAATAGACAATTTAGTAGTGAGAAAAAAAAGAATCGATTACCAAATATTTGGCGCCTCAAAACAGCGCTTTAGCAGAATACTAAAAGAGAGTTGTTCAAAGTGGTGATGTCACGCGTGAAATACATCTGGTTAAAAATCAACAAATTATCTGTATCTGTAGCCAAAATTATATACTATCAAGAAAGTACAGCTTTTTGCTGAGGTAAACCACAGAGCCTTGTTCAAAACATGAACGTTACTTCAGCGCTCGCATTAGCTGCTGGAAGTTGGTTATTTTATAGTAACTGTACGATTAGCCATTGAGTCGTAGAGTGGCATTGGGTATTGTTTTAACGGTGGGGGCAATCATTTTTAGGTAGAAATTTCTAGTTGTAACAGTTTGGGCAGTACAAAAGCCTGTGATAATAGTTATTAAACTCAGAGCCGCTGCTTTTCAAAGGCCACAAGCCTCAGCAAAGGCAACATACGCTCAAGTGGGAGCAACGGATCAAGCCATCATTTTATAATCAGTGGGCTCGGGTGCGATTCCGGAAGTTCTAGTAAAGAAGAGTATCCAAGCAGGCCTTAATCTAATCATCATCTAAGCAAAAGCACTGTTATAAGCTGGATCAGTTTGCCGCCTACGCTTCCTACCAGTACAATTTTATCCCAAATTTGCCACAGAGCTGAAAGATATCTTTAATTTCGGGATCAGGCTTTAAACCTTCCAGACAGCTTAAAAATTTTTCAATAATGGTCTATAGAAATACTATCAACATCGACTGCTAGATTTTATGCATATACTGGATTCAACCTGAATACAAAAATTTTACACAAAAATGTTTCATTTAATTGGGAAAAGTAAACTCGGAATATAACGCAAGCATTTTTTGTGTGATATATTTACACAACAAGTGCTTTCGTTATATTCCGAGTTTACTTTTCCCAACTATATGAAACATTTTTGTGTAAAATTTTTGCATCTAAGCTGTGGAAGCAATTCTAAGTTTGTTGGTTAATCTTTGAAATTATAGAGTTCATGATGTTCTTGCTAGAGAGCGGCGTTGGAAGCGCAATACAAATAAAAAATATATCCACAATGGATTCACTTTCCTCCTGAAATTATAAAAGACCAAAAGATCATATGTAGAAACCGACCTTTCTTATCCCATATGAGGCCCATCATGATGTGTTTTGAGACGTACATGTCTTCTTGAGGGTCAAAGATGCAAACCTTGGGTTTTGTGGGAACCGGTGCCAAAGTGTGGTTACAAAACTCCGTCACGAAGGACGCACTGGATTCCGACAACTCGCCGATGTCATCTGGCGCCGAAAACCGACGATATTTTTCCTGCTGCGCCGATATGTATGTAAACAAAAGTATAGTCAACATAATCGCGATGCTGATTATAGCCATTCTTTTTATTTTCCACATTTTAAGCAAGAATAATGAAGTATTGGTTAATCTAAATTACAATTTCATACCACGATTTTACCATAGGGTTCTATTTCAGTAAGCCTCAATCGAATCTTATTGCAAATTTTGGTTATGTTCAACTATAAATTGATAGTTGCTAGTACGTTGGTATTCATGTTTGTCAAGTTGAGCTCACAATTAATAGTTCAACTAAGCCATTTGTACGATATAGCCTATTGCTCCACCAATATTATTGTTGGGTGAGATAGATATGCTCAAAATGGACAAAACTAAATTCGTGGCAATATTTTGTGATGCATAAGATGATCAGATGTTAGATGAATATTTCACTTACGGCAACACTGCAAGTGGGTCAAACAAAAGACTTTTCAATTTTTTTCTAAATTTTAAATCTGATGACTAACAGGTTATTGGCTCCGAGTCTAAATTCTATACTTTTTCATTTTCCCCAAACCTGCGAATTAAGCCTCGAAAACATATTTAGTCTTCATACGTAACGTATAGAACCCCTTATTATGCCAAGAAAATTGATGCTCATACGAGGTGGCGGATAAAAGGAAAACAAGACTGCTCGTATCAGGGCCAAGCCCTGAATGTTCCGACTGCCTTTTTAAGGTCTTTTGAAGGCTCTTTTTCCTTTCCCCCCCCCCCCACCTCGTATGAGCATCAATTTTATGATGTAATGAGTGGTTTTACAAGGTTAATTAGGAAGACCAAATATGTTTGTCTTGGCCCGGTTAGTCCGCGTGCCAATTTTCTTGTTAATCGATTTGTGGGAACAGTAATTTTACTTGTAAAAATTGCAGGTGGGGGGAAAGGAAGGCCTTTTTTCATTCCCCCCCCCCCACCTGCAAATTTTTATATTTGAAGTTAGTGTCCACTTTGTCCGATTGTCATGAAAATTGACATGCAGACTAATTAGGCCATGACAAACATATTTGATCTTCACAATTAACCTTGTAAAACCACTCGTTAGAACATAAAATTCATGTTTGAGTGAGGTGGGGGGAAAAGGAAAAAGAGCCAAAAAGAAAAAGAGCCCTTTTGAACAGTAATAACATGAAACAAATTAAATTTAATAAAAGAAAATTAAATTTTTCTTTTTTAAAATGAGATTTTTGTGAAAATCATCCCCCCACACGCCATATAAAGTACAATGTGATAGATTTGGCTCCCATTAACAAATCAATTTGCCAAAAAAGCTTCCTTTAACCAATTCGGAACGATTTTTAAGACGGATTAAATCTCCGCTTACGGGTTAATAGCGGGAAATATATCGCGCGTTAATTGTCCCGAATTGGCCAAAATGGCAATCTTTCAACCCCCATAGCTTTACAAAAAATGATCACAGGTAAAAATCTTTTCAAATTTAAGCTCAGGAAAACAATAACTTTCGAATAATGTTTAAAAAAATTCCGTCAAAAATGGCTAGTTAAAAAGTCGAAATTTGTCTGAAGAAAAAAACCCACCCCGAACACAAACATTCCGTTTATTTCGTTAACGAAAGTCGGAACAATGAGCCAAATTTTATCTTTTTTGTGAAACCTTTTGTTTAACTTATTGTTGTTCCGACTTTCGTAACGAAAGTAAAAAAATATTTGTGCTCGGGGTGGGTTTTTTTCTTCAGACAAATTCCGACTTTTTAACCAGCCATTTTTGACGAAATTTTTTATATCATTCAAAATCTATTGTTATCCTGAGCTTAAATTTGAAAAAATATTTCACCTGTGATCATTTATCGTAAAATAATGGGGGTTTAAACAATGCCATTTTGGTCAGTTTTGGACAATTAACGCGTGATATATTTCGCGCTATTAACGCGTAAGCGGAGATTTACTCCGTCTTAGAAATTGTTCCAAATTGGTTGAAGAAAGCTTATTTGCAAAAATTGGTTTGTTACTCGGAACTAAATCCATCACTTTGTACTTTATATGGTGTGTGGGGGGATGATTTTCAAAAAAAATCTCAATTTTCAATTTTTTTGTTCATTTTATTTTATTACATTTATTTTTTTCATGTTATTTTTCGCTCCATAGACCTCAAAAGGCAGTCGAAATATTCAGGGCTTCGCGCTGATACGAGCAGTCTTGTTCCATTTTGAAATTTATCCTCACAGAAAATATAACTCAGTATTGACCGTTATCAGTAGGAGATCTGTTATTCGACCATTTTTACTCTTCATTTAAAAGCTGGCACAAGATTGATTAATTACTATCATTGATTCAAATTCGGAATTTTTCGTAATATACGACCCGAAATGGATCTTCTGTAAATTACATCACAGTTCTTCGATCTCTGCTTTTCGATCAAAAGTATTAATTGATGCACATGAAATGTGGTAGAGATAAATAAATATTTTGCCCACATACTGTTTTCCAGTTAGTTTTCCCAACCTGGCAGTTAAGTTAGGGCTGGTAAATTTATCTTTTACATGAAAAACCTCAAACATTTTGAAAAATTGTTAATTGTTCAATAAAAGCATAGGTTTCAAAATGTTCATCACATTATATTTTCCATCAGGAAAATTTGTGAAAAATAAGTTCAAATTGAAAATCCACTCATAAAAAAAAAACAAATTTGAATTATGAGCTGTGTTGTTATTAACGTTTTTACATTTAAGTACATTTAAATCATAACCTTTTCAGATTTTCATTCAAAACTCAAAACACCAATTTATTAGACCCACACTTTAAATTGAGCACGCTTGAGTCATTTGTAAAGTTCTCCTGTCTATAATTTATTTATTTGAACTGCATATTCGCATATTCACTGTTTACCAAATAATTTCTTTACCTACAGAATATACTTAGTAAGTTACAAGACTGCTCAAATATCAGGGCGAACCTCTGATTGTTCAGAATGCACTTTAAGGTCATTAAAAAAACTTTTGGTTGAAGAATGGACAAACTAGTCGTCAAATGAATTGAATGGACAAATTATTTCTTCAATTTATCCTATCCCCCCACGCACAAACGCTAACGTAAACAAAAAAGGGATGTATTTAACGTCTCGGATCCTAATAATCAGACTACTTGCCTAATTCAATTTAAAGCTTACTAAAGCGCCGCTTATGCGTGTTGTAAGAACGCAATAAATGGCGCGTTAATAATCCCAAATTGGCCAAATTACAAATTTTCAAAATCACATAATTTAACGAACATGATCACAGATGATTTTTTTTAAATATTTGAGCTCCAACAACAGAATTGTCCAATAGTTTTAGAAAGTTTATTCAAAATCGCTTAGTTGAAAAGTCGAAAATTGATTGTGATTGATTAAATACCCCAAGCATAAATAATCGGATTTTTCTTCGAAAATCGTCACAATGATAAGCAGTTCAGTAGGAATATTATTAGACTGTTTTTTTTTCAAATAAAAAACTCAATGCGCTTTCCACATGAGGTACTCTTTGGCTCTCCCAAATGAGGTGCTCTTTCCAAAAACAAAAATGAAAATGGGCAGGAACTTTGTATTCGGGAGTGTTTTATTTATTGTTCGGACCATTGAAAATGGAGACGAACTTCGTATTCAGGTGCTTTAGTTTTTTTTGCTTTTTGCTTTCCACGCAAAATCAAGTACGACAAATAATCATCGGACTGGATTGAGTGATATACCATATTAAAACCCTTACAGTCGAGCCCAGTGTCTAGAAAAACTGGTTTAAAAACTTTCATTTTGCGTTTTGTTTCGAGCAAATAAAACCAGCGAGCAGTCTTATTTTAATTGCTTAAAAGCTTACAATAGCTTTATTTGAAACGCCAAAATTAGTTTTATTTGCGTAACGATAGTTTACTTTGAGTATTTTGGCGCCTTTTTCGAATCAAAAGTTCAAACAACTGCAAAAAAAAACTTTGTGACATCAATTTTGCTTTTCAATTTTCTTGTAATATTTCTATAAAAATTGTTTTCCAATTTGCCATTTTTAGAAAGAATGTCAAAAATACCTAATTCCCAGTTATTGTTTAACTCTTTTCATCACATTATGTCGTAAAAAACGACAATAAATTGAAAACTGTATTTTTTAAGACTATAGTCGGAACATTCTGTGCTACTTCCACAGTAACCGGCTATCCTTGTTTTTTTTTCGTTTTACACGCAAAATCAGGCACTATAAACAATTATCAGACAGGATTGAGTGATATATCATTTAAAAGCCCTTGCAGTTAACATTCGAATGACATGACAACTTTCAATTTTTTTATTTATTTTTAGTCTAATTTCAAGCGAATAAAGCGAGCGAGCAGGCGTAAAACAGGCCTTTTATACAAGAAGGATAAGCCATAAAATTTCTATTTAGGCCCTGAAAATTTAATTTTTCTCTAGTAAAAATAGTTTTCGAAGTGTATAGCGCCATTTTGTGAATCAGAAAACTTAAAAAAAAATTTTTTTTTAATTATGGAAAATTTTCGAACTGTTTTTTTAAACAAATTTTCTTTGTTGTTCGAGACATTTTTCCAGTAAAACTGTCGTCCATCTTGCCAACTTTACTAAACGTGACGAATATGCCTAAGTTTTATCAAACCACGCACAAAAAAAATCAAAATGAAAAAAAAGAATTTTTGTGCAAGAAAATATTCCAAAAACTCTGTTCTTCTTGCACAGCAACCAGCTATCCTTGTTTCTTACTATTTTTACGCATAATTTAGATAATCTTAAAATAAAATCTCTGATTTGGAAATCGCAAAGTGCACCTTATTCGAAAAACGCAAAATACAGACTAATAATAATTATATTGAACTTCCTACTGATTATATCCCAAGTACAATCCGTAACTATAAATTACTTTTTATTTTAACCAGCAGTACAAGGACGCATTTTGAAATGGATTATGAGTGAATATAACGACCGGGATAAGTTGGAGTCATCAATTCGCAGAACGGTTTTGCAATTTTTGATCTTTTATTGAATGTTCTTGCTTAAGCTGAGTAAGTTTAAAACAAAAACTAATAAAAACTTTTCAATAAAAAAAGCAGAACTCAACAGTATTTTGCGTTACTATTATCCCAGACTAATTGGGTATTGTTCATTTTGATGAATGAATTTTCACACTAAGGTAAAAATACGCTTTGACCTTGCTAAGTTGTATTTTTTCAAGTAATATAGAAATTGAGCTGGCAAAAATATTCAAGTAATATAGAAATTGAGCTGGCAAAA